ATTAATTTTGCCCCCATAATAGTGACATGCTCATCTTCAAGATGTGTGTAATTCCCCAAGTGACAGTTTTTGCGGGACACGCTCTACAATTTTTGATCCGAACATCAACTTGCTCACATCACTCGCGTGACGGCAGCTTCATTGCCAACGCAATGGTGGCTACCAGTAGTGTGTAGTATCTGTGAAGATCAAACATCGAGATCAAGGCGTTTCTTGCGGAGACAGCGACGTTACTCACGACTGAAAAAGAAGAGGAACGGGCGACTTCGCCAACGTGACTCGACGCGTTTGGCAAAATGACATTGCTAATATCACTAGAATACAATCTCTTTGCAGCTTGTTTTATTTATCCGGTATCTATCGGCTATTCCTCGCCGACCAGCGCTCGCTGCTTGTTTGCTCTACCACTCACGGACACGCTTAGGATTACAGCAGGGTGACAATCGCGGAGCCGACCAGAAGCGCCGAGACCACCGACATGCTCACAGCCTCGGCATCCGACGAATCACCGCTGCTTTCGGCAGCGCCTCCGCTGGCCGCGCTCGAGGTGGTGCCCTGGTAGCTGGTCCAGTCGCTGGCCGTCTGGCCCGAGCACTCGTAGTTGAGCACCTCTGACGGACAGGACTGGTCCTCAACGCTGTCCGATTCCCACGTGGAATCCGCAAGAGCGGAGAAGCCCGACGGGCAGTCCGGCGGATTGGTGCGGTCCGAATCGGCCGTGAAGTCAGCGAACGAAGACTCGGACGAGAAGTCCGTGTCGTTGTACTGCGTCGAAAGGTTATAGAAGTTGGGCATCGGGTTGTACGAGCACATAGTGTCGATCCAGTCGCAGTCCTCGGGCGAATAGTAGCCCAGGCCATAGTTTTGCGCGCCGTACGTCGTGAACGGGTACGACGAAGTGGACGAGCCCGAACCGTCCGAGTTGGCCATCTCCGTTGCGAATTCGAATACAAAACCGCCAGAGAATACATCGCGGAACTTGTCACCTAGTAACCAGCCGGCCTGTCGCCACGTGCGCTGCGCCTCGTACTCGCCTACGGTGGGGAAGCTTGGGTTCACGCAACCATACTCCGTCAGCATGACCGGGATAGACATACTGTAGTTAGAGAAATCCGTCAGCAACTGGGAGAACCCGTCGGCGTCGGCGAGTTCCGTCACGTCACCGTCGCAGTACTGGTACGTGTTGAGGCCGTACCATTCGGCATTTTCGTATTTGTCGGACGAGTCCGTGCGGCAGTTGTAGTACTGGGCGTTGAGCTCACGGTTGTTGTTCGTGGTATCCGGGTCGGCCATCACGACACCCACGGGGATGCTACGCATGGTGGACGAGCACCCGCCGATGAAGGCGCGCATGTCTCGAATGAACTTCTTCTGGCACGGGGCGTTGGTGCTGGCATCCGTGACCAGGTTGTTGATCTCGTTGCCGGCACTGAAGCCCAGAGTGTTGTCGTACTGAGCAAACTCAGTGATAATCTGTTGTCCACGAGTCTTGAGCGCGCCCGGGTAACAGGCCGGGTATTCGTCCACAGTGATAGAACAATTCTCGCAACTAGCGCCAAGATCCACGAGCGCGTACATGCCATACTTGCGAAGTTCGCACATGAAATCGTCGTGCGACTTGGACGGATCCACGGCGTACAGGCGCACGGCGTTGGCGCCCGCCTCAGCTAGGTAAGCAATATCGTCCTTCCAGACGGAGCTGTTATCGTCCGTGAAGAAGTCGTAGTTGTTTACGTTGAGCTCGCCTGAATTGGGACGCGGGTAGTAGTCCACGCCCTTGACGGCGAAATAGTCGCCAGTGTTCGAGTCGAACATTTTGTAGTTTTTGATCACGATGGGGTTTGTGTACGCGCTGACGGACGACGTCGCCAGGGCTGTCACGACTGTGAAGACCGTAGTGAACTGCATCACGCTGGCCAACCTCTGTGTCTACTGAAGCCCGTTGGGGAAGAATGACCTGGAGCACCAAGAGAGATTGGGAATCTGCCGTGTTATGAGCAAATTGATGAATGAGGTAATGTCTTGAGCCGTGCGTCCCCAATCAAATCTCCTCTACCGAGAACCATCGCCGATCGCGTTGGACTCGCCTTTTTCAGCACGGGGCGCTCCGTGTGATCCTTGCGCCATCTGTGCATTTTGAGCACATCGTCCAGTAACGGTGCGTGCCGCAGCTATCGATCTCAGCCCGTGTCCATTTGCGCCAGAACGCAGGACCCGGTGGATTTTCGTCAGCGCTGATGGAGACTCCGGCTTGTTAAGTCTATAGTATTAGAGACTATTATTGGGACCGGTCTTCATTCTTCACCATTGCGGCAGGGAACATCCTCTGTCCAGTACCCCCCCCCCCCAAAAAAAAATTAAATAAATAAACTAGCCAGGGACGTGGCCAGGATCAACCACGCAATATTTCGCGATGCCGCCTGTCAGTATTGTCGAAATGCCCCCGCCGGGCGGGGCCCGCCCACGTCGGCTCGTTGCTAGTAGCGATAGCAACGGATTCGGCGACGGTCAACCTCCCGCTGGCCCTGCTGATCTCGAGGCAGCGATTTTTTTCTTCACGGTGCCTTATGCAAATATGATGAGGTAGACTGATTACCAATGTAGAGTATTATACGTACTCCGCCAGTTCTGGATGAAAACGGTTGTCTTCAACACTGTCTGATGTCGAACATCACAACCGATTCACGAGTCACACGGGTGACGGACGCTACGAGTATTTTAATCGGTGCAAATCCTTTTCCAACAGAGTGAGATCTGTCATCGTAGTGACTGGCGATATTGTTAGTCCTTGTACCGATTGACTCAGGTCCGTGGCGAGCGGTGCTTTCGATTGCTTTCGTTGTCTGTGGGTCTAATCTAGCAGTGCACTCAACTCTACTTCCGTCCACTTTCTTGAGTGGATTTGACTCTGGTGCAGCGTTTCCTTCATTTCAAGAATTTGACATCGGAAAAAAATGGCACCGAAGTTGCGTTGAAGTTCTTCTCAAGTCTACTTACGTAATTTTCGACTACATTTTTGTTGTGGTCCACATAATTCAAGATTCAAGCGAGGGGCCGCAACCGAACCGAAAGAAATCTCGCGCTTCCTGCATCGCTCGACCGTCCTTTGTACAGCGCTTCACGCCCACATAGCTTACCAGTCGATCCTCTCACCGATATATCACTGAGTTAAGATGACGGTACGTTTAATACCGGCCTCTCCGCTCGTCAACCATAATTGTGTTGCAAGGATACAGGGTCGTGTGGCACGATGATACAGCTGGAGTTAGATACTAACTTTGAGTGGTTTCGTTGTTACTCGTGGCCTTGGTTGCTCGACAGGTGTCCACTACAAAGACTAAGGAGACTCTGGAGAAGCCTGGACGCACCAAGGATGCAGAGAAAACAAAACCGGAGAACGACGAGGACAGTGCCGGCGCTGACGACGAGGAGTCGGTGGAGGACGACACTAATGAGGACAATGACGGGGAAGAGATGAATGGAGAAGAAGATGAGAACGGAGAGGAGGGAGATGGTGAACAAGAGGAGGAAGTGGGGCTGTCGTACCTATATACGAACTTTGAGGACGATGACAACGATGAAGACTTTAAAGTGGATACTGCAGCTCAAGATGACGATGACGACGACGAGAACGACGATGAAGATGAAGGAGAGAACGACGATAATGACGATGCAGAGGACGATGAGCAGGTTACTGCTGATGACGAAGAGAACGATGGCGAAGGTGATGACGATGTTGATGAGAATGAAAGTGCCGAAGACGGAGATGACGATGGGGGAGCTGGGGGTGAAGACGACGAGGACGATGAGGGAGCGAACGGTGAAGAGAATGAAGAGGAAGAAGAGGAACCGCCAGGTGCGTATTGATGCTTCGAGATGTACCGCTCTAAACTGATCTCACTTGTTTATTCCCCCACAGCTAAGAAGCAAAAGAAGTAGCCACTCCTGGTAAAGTAGTTTGTAAGAAATAGCGGCTGGCCAGCAATTAGCATGGCGAACGTCAGGGGGGAAGTGCTGTCTCGCTCTGCCTTTGCTTTACTTTTTTTTTTGGATTTTACCAAACCCACGCCCCATACAGACGTCCTCACTCATCTCAACCAGTATCGCCCCGTTGCGACCGGGAGTTTGCTTTCCATTGCATGTCTTGCCTCTGAAGTTTATCGATCTACTCTACGTCTAGTACGTTTAAACGTTACGGATGAAACACAACACAATTTGAGAAAACCAA